CAAACGCACACACACACACACACACACACACACACACACACACACACACACACACACACACACAAAACACACACACACACAATATACCCACAAAGGCCCCCACACCCCTCACCTTCTCTGGCAGGCCGTTCATGATGTCAGCAACAATCTCCTCAGGCACCTCACGCCGCGGGGACGAGTGAGTCACAATCACCACATCGCTGCGCTCAAAGGCCGCCGCGCCCATCTGCGTGAGGCGGGCGGCGGGCGGCCGCGGCGGGGGTGAGGAAACAGCACGGGCTCGTTCCTGATGCACGAGGCGAGCCGTCGGCCACTATCCCTTGGCATGCTTGAGCAGCGCGGTTCGCCGGCTGCGCGGCAGGCAGGCTGGGGACAACGTTGTCAACGTGCAGCCGGCCGGCTCGACAAGCTGCAGTCACGACCGTGGCGGGGCCCGCCGCGCGCGGCGGCCGAGCCGAGGGCACGCGCGCCCGCCCTTGCCCTTCCCCCTCAACCAACAGACCTGCGTGCGCATGGCCTTATCGGTGGTCTCCCCATCGCAGGCCAGAACGGTGAAGATGCGGCCACTGCCGGACGCCTCCCTGTGGCGCGGCGCGGCGGGGGGCGCGCAGGAGGGGCACCGGTGTGAGGGGTGGTGGTGGGGGGCAGGGCGGAGCGGTTGGAGATGGGGAGCCCCGCGGCTACGCCGGCCCTTGGTCACCAGGAAAGCAACCAGCCAAGCCCCGCGTCGGCGTCAGCAGGAGTGCCGGGCGCAATCGCACCCGTGAGCGCGGTGCGCAATCCACTGCCGCACCGCCGGCGCCCTCCGCTCCCGCGCTAAAATCTGCACACGCATGTGCACACAAGCAAATGCATGTGTGCACGCACATGCGCAAACCACACACACACGCACACACACACACACACACACACACACACACACACACACGAACAAGCACACACGCACAAACACACACACACACAAACACACATGCGCGCGCGCGCGCGCAAGCCTGCGCGCCTGACGCTGTCGAGCAGGGTGGCCACGCGCGCGGGGGAGTCGGCGGCGTCGACGATGACGGGGAAGTCGGCCCTGAGGACGGGGTCATCTGGGTCGGCGTTGACGACCTCACCCCTGAGAGAGGGGGGTGCATGTGATGGTGTGCATGTGCATGTGTGTGCGTGCGTGTGCATGTGTGTGTGTGTAGGAGTAAGTGGAGTTGTGGGTGCATGTTAGTGTGGGTGCCAGCATTGTGTGAGTGTGAATGAGTGAATGAATGAATGTGTGTGTGGGTGTGTGTGTGTGTATGTGTGTGTACGCGGCCATGCTGCGCGCATAGGCCCGTGCGTTGCGGCCGTGTGCACAACGGCGCGGCCGCACGCGCGCGGCGCGGCGCGGCGTGACGGCGGGCGGCCCCCGCCCGCATCCGCGCCGACCTGCCAGGGATGACGGTGACGGCCTCGATGCCGGCCACCAGCGCCTCCAGCGGCGCATCCAGCACCACACCGACCTGGGAGTTGCGGCATACGATTGCAAAGGCGGATGCAATTCGGATTACCAGGGGCCTGCCGCGTCGGCCTCGCGCGCCGCGGCGGCCGTAGGTACACGACGGCGAAAGCGCCGCGGGAGCCTTGCGCGCGGCGCCCGTCCGCCCATCGGCCCACGCGCGCCCTCTCCCAGGCCCAGCCGTCCAATGCCAGCCCCTCCCTCTCACCTTGCCCCCGGCACCCAGCACCCTGCGCCCCTCAGCCCCTGCCGTTCTTGGCACGGTTCCCAGATGCAATTCCTCCGAAGCCTTCAAATCCAACAAAACTCCAGAATGCGACATGTCAATCTCCTCAGTTGTCCTCAACCCTTAAATATGCCGAGCCGTGACTCACCGCCACCGCCGCAAGGATGTTATACACGTTGTGGCGCCCCACAAGGGATGAAACGATCTGAAGCCGCCGGCCCCCTGGCACGCGCACAATCACCTGCGGGCGCCAGCAAAAGGGGCCGCAGGGGCGAGAGGCGAATGGGGAGGGCGGCGTGCGGAGGCTGAGATCGGCTGCCGATCCTCTGTTACGAGTGCAATGCAACGAGAGCGGTGTCATTGCAGGTGCGGCGGTATGCAGACCGCGCGCAGGCCCGCGGCAGCCAGGCCGCCGGGTCTTCCGCGAGCACCGCTCCCTGTCAGCCGAGCGGCGGCGCGCCGCGCCGTGCCAAGCACCGCGAGCCCCGGGCGCGGCCGCACCTCCGTCTCCCAGGACGTGAGCTGGACGCTCTCCGCCCACACGTCGGCGCGGCGGTCTCGGACGCTGTAGGTGACTGTGGGCACGGTCGTCACCTCCAACACGCGCTTGGCCGCGGCGTCGTCTGAGGGTCAGGGCGCGGTTTGGTCGGGCGGCAGGGCGGCGGTGGCATGGTTTGTGATGGGTTGCGATTCATGTTGGAGGTGTGCGTGTGTTTGTGTGCGTGTGTGTGTGTGTGTGTGTGTGTGTGTGTGTGTGTGTGTGTGTGTGTGTGTGTGTGCGGCGCGAGCGGGGGCGGCCCATACAGGAGATTGGGTGGCGGAAGGTGCACCCTGTGGGCGGCAATGCGGCCAGACGCCGGCCCCGCAGCGCGCGCACCGATGTTGACGACGGCGCGCTGCTGCTCCGGGTCGTGCAGCGACTCAAACAGCGCCAGCTTCGTCTTGAGGTAGGCCTGGGGAAGTCGGAGGGGCGCGGTGTTGCATGAGGGAGCCGGAGGGGCGGGGCTTCCCATGAGGGATGGGAGGCAGGGCGACAGACTGACGCTCATGCGGGCTGCCGGCTGGCGCAGTGGGCCTTGCGCAGCGGCAGTGGAAGAAGGATGCGGGCGGGCTCGCGAAGCCCAAAGCAAGTAAGGGCCCCGCAGACGAAACGCACAAATCAATTTTGGGTGCAAGCAGGGGTGGGTGGAGGGGGACTGAATGGCGCAGGGGGGTGTTGCGCGGGAAGAGGAGGATGGGCGGCAGCGGAGGCGGCAGCGGCAGGCAAGGGGGATGAGGGGGAGCGGGGCAGGCTGCTGAGGGCAGCGCGTGAAGCGTTACGGCAGGCGGGCGCCCGGCCGCGCCGGCGAGGCGGAAGGGGAGGGCGGGGCAGGGG